AGAAGGTTGTTTGGTAGGTAAGAAGGTTGTATGGTAGGTAATAAGGTTGTATTTTAGATTAGAAGGTTGTATGGTAGGTAAGAAGGTTGTATGGTAGGTAATAAGGTTGTATTTTAGATTAGAAGGTTGTATGGTAGGTAAGAAGGTTGTATGGTAGATAATAAGGTTGTATGGTAGGTTGTTAGGTTGTATGGTAGCTAAGAAGGTTGTTTGGTAGGTAAGACGGTTGTATGGTAGGTAAGAAGGGTGTTTGGTAGATAAGAAGGTTATTTGGTAGGTATGAAGGTTGTATGGTAGGTAATAAGGTTGTATGTCAGGTAAGAAGGTTGGTTGGTAGGTAATAAGGTTGTATGGTAGGTAAGAAGGTTGTTTGGTAGGTAAGAAGGTTGTTTGGTTGGTAGGAAGGTTGAATGGTTTGTAGGAACGGTACATGGTCGATAGAAATGTTACATGGTTTGTAGAAAGGTTGTTTGGCAGGTAAGAAGGTTGTTTGGCAGGTAAGAAGGTTGTTTGGTTGGTAAGAAGGTTGTTTGATAGGTAAGAAGATTGTATGGAATGAAAGCTTCAAACAAGACGGACGGTCAAATCGCTAGAGTATGAATTTAAAGCAGGCGGTGGTCACATGACACCTGTACAAGGGGGGCAGTGGTCACATGACACCAGTACAAGCTAGGCGGTTGTCACATGACACCATTACAGGGTAGGCGGTGGTCACACAACACCAGTACAAGGTAGGCAGTGGTCACATGACACCAGTACAAGCGAGGCGGTGGTCACATGACACCATTACAGGGTAGGCGGTGGTCACACAAAACCAGTACAAGCTATAGGCGGTATTCACATTTAGTACACTCAGCGCAATGATCACGTGGCATATATAGTGTCTGTAATGCGGCGACATCAAATTAAGCAGGTGATCACATGACATCAGCACAAACTAGCCGGTGGTCACATGACATTTAGTATAAGCAGCCCTGTAATCACATTACGACCGATCAAGTGACATTAGTAAAAACAAGGCAGTGATCACGTGACACCGACTGATACAACATGGCGGCTTTCACCAGTGACACATGACTTACACTCTGTCCTCACAAATTGTTTCTGTACAAACTTTTATCGAAATTCTTCGACTGGTTCCTATACCTGATGAAGGGAAATAACTCGTATTTCATGTAAGCCTTTCAGTATGTTGTATCACTGGTATGCTGTTACAAAATGACCACAACTAGATATAGGTTCTCTTATTGTCGTTATGTTAAAGCATAAATGAATTTCAATTTTTAACGCAAAGCATTATATAGCTAAGGAACATAACTATACATAGCTTATGACCATTATTATATATAGCTTAGGAACATAACTATACTAAATAACTTAGGAACATAACGATACCTAGCTTAGGACCATTATGATATATAGCTTAGGAACATAACTATACTAAATAGCTTAGGAACATAACGATACCTAGCTTAGGAACATAACTATACTAAATAGCTTAGGAACATAACGATACCTAGCTTAGGACCATTATGATATATAGCTTAGGAACATAACTATACTAAATAGCTTAGGAACATAACGATACCTAGCTTAGGAACATAACTATACTAAATAGCTTAGGAACATAACGATACCTAGCTTAGGACCATTATGATATATAGCTTAGGAACATAACTATACTAAATAGCTTAGGAACATAACGATACCTAGCTTAGGAACATAACTATACTAAATAGCTTAGGAACATAACGATACCTAGCTTAGGACCATTATGATATATAGCTTAGGAACATAACTATACTAAATAGCTTAGGAACATAACGATACCTAGCTTAGGAACATAACGATACCTAGCTTAGGAACATCACGATACCTAGCTTAGGAACATAACTATACTAAATAGCTTAGGAACATAACGATACCTAGCTTAGGAACATAGCGATACCTAGCTTAGGACCATTATTATATATAACTTACGAACATTATTATTTATAACTTAGGAACATTATTTTATATAACTTAGGAACATTATGATATATAACTTAGGAACATTATGCTATATAGCAAAGTAACATTTTGATATATAACTTATGAACATTATGATATATATATCTTAGGAACATTATGATATATAGCATAGGAACATTATGATATATAACTTAGGAACATTATGATATATAGCATAGGAACATTATGATATATTACTTAGGAACATGATGATATATAGCATAGTAACATTATTATATATAACTTAGGAACATTATGATATATATATCTTAGGAACATTATGATATATAGCATAGGAACATTATGATATATATCTTAGGAACATTATGATATATAGCATAGTAACATTATGATACATATAACTTAGGAACATTACGACATATAACTTAGGAACATTACTATAAACAACTTAGGAACATGACATAATAGTTTTATTTCACTTGTGATTTTGATGGAAAGCTATAAACGTTTGTTTGACACTAGAAAAATGACACTCGACAGAAGTTATGAGACGTGTCGACACCCGGACGATATAGTACATGTTAGAAATATTTTCATAGACGTATATTTTCATGGCGGACATGGAATCGATGAGGGATCGCTCTGTATATATATATTGAAATAAACAGCATAGTCTGCTGATAAATTTGCGTTTCTATTTTCGTACAGTTCGATCGAGATTCCGTATAATTATGTTTTGGGGTTAAATACGACCAATATTGACATTCATTCTAATCCTCTTTTGTTCAGATCCAATATCGGTCACAGTGACAGTCACAGTGCCAGAAGAAGCAGCTGCAGTGTACAAGGGGAAGTCTGGTAATAAACATTGACATTTTGCCTCGACCAGGATATTGAGATTAGACCTATACCATCTTATGAGCATTTTCAATACTTTACAATACTTTCTAAATCAAAAAGTGAGTGAGAAATCCAGCGTCCTCTCCATACATATCACAATGGTATATCTCAGATGACCCACAACCATTAAAAGATGTATACTTACTGTTTAAAAAACTAGTTGCCCCTTCGAAAAGCTGCGCTAGTTCCATGGCTGTAACCGGTGCCACGTTTGTGTCCAATGGCGCCTGTCCTGGCTCCTGTCCCGCATTGAGCATGTCTGGGGGAGGGTTCGGCAGTGCTGACTCCCGGAATAGGCCCGACTGTGTAAGGCTGGGTGTGGGAGTAATTTCTTGGACCATGTCCCTATTGGCGATGTCCCAGGATGTAGGACCAGCCGATTGGGGAGGGTTCCACTGCGGTTGTTGTACGGGTTTGCGAGGTAATGACTGGTCTGGAGACGTGTCCCACAGGTTAGTGACTTGTTGCTGGGGCTCCAGGGTGAGTAACGGCCCGGTTAATTGGCGCTCTAGTTCCTGCACGCTCTGCATCTGACGAAGGTCGGTAGGAGGAGCGGGCGGGAAGTCTGATTGGGGTGGTGGTTCCCAAGTAATCTTTTGTTTGGCGGGTACGACCGTATTCGAGTTTGTTGTAACTCTGTGCTCTACAGCTGTTGTAATATTGGGACTTTTCTTTATAGAACAGTTTGCCTCCTGCGGCCAGTCACATCTACTTATTACTCTGTTGAATTCCAGTTCGCCATGGCAATTTAACTCGAGTTTCACTCCTCCAAGGCACCGGAAGAACTTATTACATACTTTTTCATGAGGAAGGAAAGAACCGTCTGGTACGCCAACACATACGGAACTTTGCGGCTTGTTGGGTCGAATGACGCCTGGAGTCAAATTGACATGTATAAGACCTTAACGTAAATGCACAGTAACAATAATAATCAAAACGCATCAACAAGCTGTGTAATTTCACCTCAAATGACGTTTTTTAACATGCAAATTATTCACAACACACATCCATTGCATCTACATCTCTGCAAGGAAACAGTTTAGTATTACAGATTACACAATTTCGACAGACAAGCACCAACTTATGTAGTGGCAAATTACATGTTTATGTAGCTTAATTGAGAGGATGTCGTAACACTGGCTAAATATTACCGTGTGTTTCTAGCACACAGTTGGGAGGCGGTAATGATACTGGCCAGATATGACCGTATATGATAGTATGTAGCTAACACACAGTTGGGAGGCGGTGATGATACTGGCCAGATATGACCGTATATGATAGTATGTAGCTAACACACAGTTGGGAGGCGGTGATGATACTGGCCAGATATGACCGTATATGATAGTATGTAGCTAACACACAGTTGGGAGGCGGTGATGATACTGGCCAGATATGACCGTATATGATAGTATGTAGCTAACACACAGTTGGGAGGCGGTGATGATACTGGCCAGATATGACCGTATATGATAGTATGTAGCTAACACACAGTTGGGAGGCGGTGATGATACTGGCCAGATATGACCGTATATGATAGTATGTAGCTAACACACAGTTGGGAGGCGGTGATGATACTGGCCAGATATGACCGTATATGATAGTATGTAGCTAACACACAGTTGGGAGGCGGTGATGATACTGGCCAGATATGACCGTATATGATAGTATGTAGCTAACACACAGTTGGGAGGCGGTGATGATACTGGCCAGATATGACCGTATATGATAGTATGTAGCTAACACACAGTTGGGAGGCGGTGATGATACTGGCCAGATATGACCGTATATGATAGTATGTAGCTAACACACAGTTGGGAGGCGGTGATGATACTGGCCAGATATGACCGTATATGATAGTATGTAGCTAACACACAGTTGGGAGGCGGTGATGATACTGGCCAGATATGACCGTATATGATAGTATGTAGCTAACACACAGTTGGGAGGCGGTGATGATACTGGCCAGATATGACCGTATATGATAGTATGTAGCTAACACACAGTTGGGAGGCGGTGATGATACTGGCCAGATATGACCGTATATGATAGTATATAGCTAACACACAGTTGGGATGTTGTGTTAATACTGATATATTACCGTATGTGGGTAACACAATGTTGGGATGGTGCGGTGATACTGACCAGATATTACCTTATGAAGCTAAAACACGGTTGGGAGGGTATGGTGATTCTGACCAGATATTTCCGTATGTAGCTAACACACTCTTTGGAGGGTGTATTGATACTGACCAGATATTACCGTATGTAGCCAACACACAGTTGGGAGGGTGTGGTGATACTGACCAGATATTACCGTATGTAGCTAACACACTCTTTGGAAGGTGTGGTGATAGTGACCAGATATTTCCGTATGTAGCTAACACACTCTTTGGAGGGTGTGGTGATACTGACCAAATATTACCGTATATAGCTAACACACTGTTGGGAGGGTGTGGTGATACTGACCAGATATTACCGTATGTAGCTAACACACTGTTGAGAGGGTGTGGTGATACTGACCAAATATTACCGTATGTAGCTAACACACTGTTGGGAGGGTGTGGTGATACTGACCAAATATTACCGTATGTAGCTAACACACTGTTGGGAGGGTGTGGTGATACTGACCAAATATTACCGTATGTAGCTAACAAACTGTTGGGAGGGTGTGGTGATACTGACCAGATATTACCGTATGTAGCTAACACACTGTTGGGAGGGTGTGGTGATACTGACCAAATATTACCGTATGTAGCTAACACACTGTTGGGAGGGTGTGGTGATACTGACCAAATATTACCGTATGTAGCTAACACACTGTTGGGAGGGTGTGGTGATACTGACCAAATATTACCGTATGTAGCTAACACACTGTTGGGAGGGTGTGGTGATACTGACCAAATATTACCGTATGTAGCTAACAAACTGTTGGGAGGGTGTGGTGATACTGACCAAATATTACCGTATGTAGCTAACAAACTGTTGGGAGGGTGTGGTGATACTGACCAAATATTACCGTATGTAGCTAACACACTGTTTGGAGGGTGTGGTGATACTGACCAAATATTACCGTATGTAGCTAACAAATTGTTGGGAGGGTGTGGTGATACTGACCAAATATTACCGTATGTAGCTAACACACTGTTTGGAGGGTGTGGTGATACTGACCAAATATTACCGTATGTAGCTAACAAATTGTTGGGAGGGTGTCGTGATACTGACCAGATATTACCGTATGTAGCTAACACACTGTTGGGAGGGTGTGGTAATACTGACCAGATATTTCCTTATGTAGCTAACAAACTGTTGGGAGTGTGTGGTAATACTGACCAGATATTTCCTGATGTAGCTAACACAGAACGAAAAAGCCATGGAGATTTACTTAGAAAAGGGCACTTCGGTCTATAGCGCGGCGAATGATGATCATATAGGTAGTCGTCAATGTGGGGAGTCTCGACTCAAACGCTACATATGTAACATGACCAAGTGTTTCATTTATGCCCCCTGTGTGTTGTTTTCCTTCCCCCTGAAGTCTAATAGATCATATGAATTGCACTTAAACAAATAACTAACCATTAGGCCTTTTTTAGTAGATTCGTTGGGTTTCACTTTACAACGAAGGGAGATAACTCACCTGATTTCGGCAAGTCTGGCGGCCTGATGACACTTGTCTGGGCTCTGGCGTTGTTGGCGGTCTGTATGTGGACCAACTTCTGTCTGTAAGAGTCGTTTTAAATAACAGTAACAGTAACACAAACGGATAGCATTTTTTAAAGTAAATACTTATTTTGGTAATATGTTAAAACTAGTTAATGTATTGATAAATTACATAGTATGAAACGTCTGTACCCTGGGTGGTATAGTTAACCATCAGTACTTATTGGTTACGTACCTCTGTACTTTGGTATAGGTATATTGTTCCATGTGACTTTATTGATAGGTTACATACCTTGTTCCCTGGGTGGTATTGGTATAGTGACTCCTGAGGTCCTATTGCCAGGTTACATACCTCGGTATTTGTGTTGGTATAGTGATTCCTGAGGCCCTATTGCCAGGTTACATACCTCGGTATTTCTGTTGGTATAGTGACTCCTGAGGCCCTATTGCCAGGTTACATACCTCGGTATTTTTGTTGGCATAGTGACTCCTGAGGCCCTATTGCCAGCTTATATAACTCGGTATTTGTGATGGTATAGTGACTCCTGAGGCCCTATTGCAAGGTTACATACCTCGGTTTTTTTTGTTGGTATAGTGACTTCTGAGGCCCTATTGTCAGGTTACATACCTCGGTATTCTGGATGGTATTGGTATTGTGACTCCTGAGGCCCTATTGCCAGGTCACATACCACGGTATTTGTGATGGTATAGTGACTCCTGAGGCCTTATAGTCAGGTTACATACCTCGGTACTTGTGTTGGTATAGTGACTACGTTGGTATAGTGACTCCTGAGGCCCTATTACCAGGTTATATACCTCGGTATTTGTGTTGGTATACTGACTCCTGAGGCCCTATTACCAGGTTATATACCTCGGTATTTGTGTTGGTATAGTGCCTCCTGAGGCCCTATTGCCAGCTTACATACCTCGGTTTTTTTTGTTGGTATAGTGTCTCCTGAGGCCCTATTGTCAGGTTACAGACCTCGGTATTTGTGTTGGTATACTGATTCCTGAGGCCCTATTGCCAGCTTATATAACTCGGTATTTGTGATGGTATAGTGACTGCTGAGACCCTATTGCCAGGTTACATACCCCCTATTGCCAGGTCACATACCACGGCATTTGGGATGGTATAGTGACTCCTGAGGCCTTATTGTCAGGTTACATACCACGGTATTTGTGGTGGTATAGTGACTCCTGAGACCCTATTGCCAGGTTACATCCCTCGGGATTTGTGTTGGTATAGTGACGTATTTGTGTTGGTATAGTAACTCCTGAGGCCCTATTGCCAGGGTACATACCTCTGTATTTTTGTTGGCATAGTGACTCCTGAGGCCCTAGTGCCAGGTTACATACCTCGGTTTTTGTGTTGGTATAGTGACTTCTGAGGCCTTATTGCCAGGTTACATACCTCGGCCCTATTGTCAGGTTACAGACCTCGGTATTTGTGTTGGTATAGTAACTCCTGAGGCCCTATTGCCAGCTTACATACCTCGGTTTTTTTTGTTGGTATAGTGACTTCTGAGGCCCTATTGTCAGGTTACATACCTCGGTATTTTTTTGTTGGTATAGTCACTCCTGAGGCCCTATTGTAAGGTTACATACCACGGTATTTTTGATGGTATAGTGACTCCTGCGGCCCGATTGTCAGGTTACATACCACGGTATTTGTGTTGGTATAGTAACTCCTGAGGCCCTATTGCCCGGTTATATACCTTGGTATTTGTGTTGGTATAGTAACTCCTGAGGCCCTATTGCCAGGTTACATCCCTCGGTATTTGTGTTGGTATAGTAACTCCTGAGGCCCTATTGCGAGGTTACATACCTCGGTATTTTTTTGTTGGTATAGTCACTCCTGAGGCCCTATTGTCAGGGTACATACCTCGGTATTTGTGTTGGTATAGTGACTCCTGAGGCCCTTTTGCCAGGTTATATAACTCAATATCCTAGGTTGTATAGTGACTCCTGAGGCCCTATTGCAAGGTTACATACCTCGGTTTTTTTGTTGGTATAGTGACTCCTGAGGCCCTATTGCCAGGTTCCATACCTCGGTATTTGTGTTGGTATAGTGACTGCTGAGGCCCTATTGCCAGGTTATATACCTCGGTATTTGTGTTGGTATAGTGACTTCTGAGGCCCTATTGTCAGGTTACATACCTCGGGATTCTGGATGGTATTGGTATTGTGACTCCTGATGCCCTATTGCCAGGGTACATACCACGGTATTTGTGATGGTATAGTGACTCCTGAGGCCTTATTGTCAGGTTACATACCTCGGTATTCTGGATGGTATTGGTATTGTGACTCCTGATGCCCTATTGCCAGGTTACATACCACGGTATTTGTGATGGTATAGTGACTCTTGAGGTCCTATTGCCAGGTTACATACCTCGGTATTTGTGTTGGTATAGTGACTAATGAGGCCCTATTGCCAAGTTACATACCTCGGTATTTGTGTTGGGATAGTGACTGCTGAGGCCCTATTGCCAGGTTATATACCTCGGTATTTGTGTTGGTATACTGACTCCTGAGGCCCTATTGCCAGGTTATATACCTAGGTATTATGGGTGGTATAGTGACTCCTGAGACCCTATTGCCAGGTTATATACCTCGGTGTTCTGGGTGGTATAGTGACTCCTGAGGCCCTATTGCCAGGTTACATAACTCGGTGTTCTGGATGGTATATTGACTACTGAGGCCCTATTGCCAGGTTAAATACCTCGGTGTTTTGGATGATATAGTGACTACTGAGGCCCTATTGCCAGGTTACATACCTCGGTAATCTGGATGGTATAGTGACTACTGAGGCCCTATTGCCAGGTTACATACCTCGGTGTTCTTGATGGTATAGTGACTACTGGGGCCCTATTGCCAGGTTACATACCTCGGTAATCTGGATGGTATAGTGACTACTGGGGCCCTATTGCCAGGTTACATACCTCGGTATTTGGGTTGGTATAGTGACTACTGGGGCCCTATTGCCAGGGTACATACCTCGGTATTTGTGTTGGGATAGTGACTACTGAGGCCCTATTGTCAGGTTACATACCTCGGCATTTGTGTTGGTATAGTGACTACTGAGGCCCTATTGTCAGGTTACATACCTTGGTATTTGTGTTGGTATAGTGACTCCTAAGGCCCTATTGCCAGGTTACATACCTCGGTATTTTTGTTGGTATAGTGACTACTGAGGCCCTATTGTCAGGTTACATACCTCGGCATTTGTGTTGGTATAGTGACTACTGAGGCCCTATTGCCAGGGTACGTACCTCGGTATTCTTTTTGGCATAGTGACCCCAAGCGCTATTGCCAGGTTACATACCTCGGTATTTGTGTTGGTATAGTGACTACTGAGGCCCTATTGCCAGGTTACGTACCTCGGTATTCTTTTTGGCATAGTGACCCCAAGCGCCTTGTTGATGGCGTTGAGGAGGGGATACTTCTGTTTATTACAATGTCCAGTGAAATCGTCCAAATCCAGCGACCAGATCATCACTCCACCAAATCTACTTTTCTTTATATAGTTGACCTGCGCAAAACAACAGTTACATCTTAAAAGGAAAAGATGATTATAGCCCCCAACATCTTTAAATTGTGACGTTATCTATCGGGATAATACTAATGTAGTTGAATAACCAGGTGTGCTATAATTAGTTTCGATTTATAATATTGTAGTGACCTTGACCTTTGGGTGGAGGATCGTCCTAGAGAAACACGTACAACACAATAACACTTTCAACTGTTTAGTATAAGGGTCCCGACCTGGACAATAGCCACTTAACGTTTGACCTCAGTATAAGGATTCCGACCTGAACAATAGCCGTTTAACTTTGACCTCAGTATAAGGGTCCCGACCTGGACAATAGATTTTTAATTTTTACCTCAGTATAAGGGTCCCGACCCGGACAATAGCCATTTAACGTTTAACCTTAAAGTGATGATATCTGACGGCTAAAAAAACACAGGAATATCTTAGTGGTAATAAATATTATTACATATTTATCTGTGAAAGATCCAGGGAAACGAATCGAGTAAACTTACCCATAGCTAAATCGGATGAATTTTATTAGAAATATCTAATCTGAAGAATGTGCTAAACATGCCAAGAATGAGACGTAGAAATTGGTCAAAAAAAATGGCAGAGCACAATCTAATTAAAATTATATCTTCACATCGCTCCCGTTTACTGATATGTCGCGTTGAAGATCTAACAACATCCCGTAGAGGGTCATGTTCAGGCGACCTTTGCATTAACCAATCAGATGAGAGCTTACGCATTTCTGTAAGTGATGATGTAATGATTTCGGAACACACTTGCTATGATAAAAGACCGAGAGGTGTCAAATGAGCATCGAAAATGGCGGCGCCCATGATACCACGCCGTGTCTATCTACAAGACAACGTTTGTACAATTTGTGGATTTTGCTTTGAAATAAGAAAGACTTCCTCTTCTGGTGATGTTGTCGTTAAAAAGTCTAACAACCTGAAACTAAAATTAACCCATGACAGGCTTCGCAATATTCAAACTATCACTGGACCAGACGAAAAAGTGGATTTTGGGCTACGAGGTGTCTGCATGAAATGCTACAGGTCCTGCTTTCTGATTGGTTGAAAGAAAGAGTGATGTCGCGTTTTGATTGGCTTGTTATAAAGACGATAATGCATTCATGTTGACCTCTGACGTGACCCTCTATGGGATGTTGTTAGATCTTCAACGCGACATATCAGTAAACGGGAGCGATGTGAAGATATAATTTTAATTTGATTGGGCAGAGCAGCGAGTATGAGCCGTTGACTAATTTCGTGAATACACTTATAACATGTTTATAAGGTAAAGTGTTTTATTTCCATAAAGTGTCATTCAACGTATATAACGTATTATCCATTATAAAACATGATAGAGTTCGAAGAGTTGTATCTATTAAGTGTATGTTACCGCAGACATTACTCCTGTGACGTGTAGGGTGACTGATATGTGCTATTTCATTAGTTTGTTTTATCGCCGCGAAATAACCATTGTTGTCGTCTTTATGCCCCGCTAGTAATGTATAATATCTTTTATTTATTTGTTAACATCCGCAAATTTTACAACCAATCTACGTGTACGTACCTTGGCAGTCAGGCTGGCCGGGTCATCATAACCAATCCACGTGTCCGTACCTTGGCAGTCAGGCTCGTCGGGTCATCATAACCAATCCACGTGTACTTACCTTGGCAGTCAGGCTGGCCGGGTCATCATAACAACTCCACGTGTACGTACCTTGGCAGTTAGGCGGGCCGGGTCATCATAACCAATCCACGTGTTCGTTCCTTGGCAGTCAGGCTAGTCGGGTCATCATAACCAATCCCCGTGTACGTACCTTGGCAGTCAGGCTGGCCGGGTCATCATAACCAATCCACGTGTACGTACCTTGGCAGTCAGGCTAGCCGGGTCATCATAACCAATCCACTGATCACCGTCAACAATGTAAGGCACTTTCTGGTCCTCGATGTAGTATGTCTTTACTCCGGGCTTCTTTCTCTTCTCACAGATCTGGGAACAAAGCATGTCTTACCATTTTACATAAATATACCGATAGATAAAAATATATTTATTAATTGAAAATATGAAAACGGTCAATTAACAAAGCAATTGTTGGACATAATATACAATAGAAACAAGAGGCCCAATAGGCCTGCATCGCTCACCTGGTATTATAAATCTCACACTTGTAAACTTAAAATTGATCTAAAATAAAGCTACAGGCAAAATATCAGTATATATGATTAAAATTCATTCAAAAGAACCTGTAATTTTTTTTTAAAACGTTTCATCCCTGTGACCTTGAAAGTCGAACAAAGTCATTATGTTGAACAAATTTTATAGCCTTTCATCTCAGGATGCAACTTGCAAAGTATCAACATCCTGGGACCCATGGTTATTCTGAAGAGGTCGTTTAAAGATTTTAAACAAATTTGACCCCTGTGATCTTGAATATAAGTCAAAGTCATTCACTTTTACAAACATAGCAGTCCTTGATCCCAACATGCTACTGACTAAATATCAACATCCTGGGCCTTTTGGTTATTCAGAACGAGTTGTTTAAATATTTTGAACATATTTGCTCCTTGTGACCTTGAATATGATTCAAGGTCATACATTTAAACAAACTTGGTAGCCCTTGATCCTAGTTTGCTACTGACTAAATATTATCACCCTGGGTATTTTGGTTATTCAGAAGAGGTTGTTTAAAGTTTTTAACATATTTGACCCCTGTGATCTTGAATATGGGTGAAGGTCATTCATTTGAAAAATCATGATAGCCCTTTACCCCAGAATGATACTGGCCAAATATCATCACCCTGTGCATTTTGGTTATTCAGAAGAAGTTGTTTAATGTTTTTAACATATTTGACCCCTGTGACCTTGACCCTGTGACCTTGAAAATGGGTGAAGGTCATTAATTTTAACAAACTTTGTAGCCCTTCATCCCAGTTTGCTTCTGGCCAAATACCATCACCCTAGGCCTTTCGGTTATTAAGAAGAAGTCGTTTAAAGTAAAATATTGACGACGGACGAAGGACGGACGAACGACGGACGGGCGACGGACGGGCGACGGACGCCGCGCCACGGCATAAGCTCACTTGGCACTTTGTGCCAGGTGAGCTAAAAACGGATAAACATTCATACCACCTAATACCACATGTGATAGGATAGGTATCCACGTCATACCTCGTAATAGGACAGGAAGCCTTGTTCGCGAGTAAATTTGCCTCCATTTCCTTTCTTAGCCGGGGCCCCAACGGCGACGTTGGAAGGGTCGGTGAGGGTGAAAGAGCGACCATATACCGCCAATCCGATGTTCAGTTTCTCTTTTGGAACTCCCATCTTTGCCCAGTACCTGGAGGCCCAGGCCTATAAAATACAATTAAACTCTACATTATGTGTATTTTAGCCAGTCATACACAGCATTCCTACATTGTATGCTAATCAGTCAGTCCTACAAAAAGTGTTATTCAGTCTGTCCTTCATAACGTGTTATTCAGTCTGTCCTTCATAACGTGTTATTCAGTCAGTCCTTCATATCGTGTTATTCAGTCAGTCCTCCTACATAACGTGTTATTCAGTCAGTCCTACATAACGTTTTATTCAGTCTGTCCTACATAACGTGTTATTCAGACAGTCCTTCATAACGTGTTATTCAGTCTGTCCTTCATAACGTGTTTTTCAGTCTTTCCTTCATAACGTGTTTTTCAGTTTGTCCTTCATAACGTGTTATTCAGTCTGTCCTTCATAACGTATTATTCAGTCTGTCCTTCATAACGTTTTATTCAGACAGTTCTTCATAACGTGTTCTCCAGTCTGTCCTTTATAACGTGTTATTCAGTGTGTCCTTCATAACGTGTTATTCAGTCTATTCTATATAGCGTGTCATACAGTCAGTTCTATCGAACGTGTCAAACAGTCAGTTCTATCGAGCGTGTCATACAGTCAGTTCTATCGACCGTGACATACAGTCAGTTCTATCGAACGGGTCATACAGTCAGTTCTACCGAACGTGACATACAGTCAGTTCTATCGAACCTGTCATACAGTCAGTTCTATCGAACCTGTCATACAGTCAGTTCTATCGAACGGGTCATACAGTCAGTTCTACCGAACGTGACATACAGTCAGTTCTATCGAGCGTGACATACAGTCAGTTCTATCGAACGGGTCATACAGTCAGTTCTACCGAACGTGACATACAGTCAGTTCTACCGAACGTGACATACAGTCAGTTCTACCGAACGTGACATACAGTCAGTTCTACCGAACGTGACATACAGTCAGTTCTACCGAACGTGTCATACAGTCAGTTCTACCGAACGTGACATACAGTCAGTTCTACCGAACGTGTCATACAGTCAGTTCTATCAAACGTGACATACAGTCAGTTCTATCGAACGTGACATACAGTCAGTTCTCTCAAACGTGACATCCAGTCAGTTCTATCGAACGTGACATTCAGTCAGTTCTATCGAACGTGACATCCAGTCAGTTCTATCGAACGTGACATACAGTCAGTTCTACCGAACGTGTCATACAGTCAGTTCTACCGAACGTGACATACAGTCAGTTCTATCAAACGTGTCATACAGTCAGTTCTATCGACCGTGACATACAGTCAGTTCTATCGAGCGTGTCATACAGTCAGTTCTATCGAGCGTGACATACAGTCAGTTCTATCGAACCTGTCATACAGTCAGTTCTATCGAACCTGTCATACAGTCAGTTCTATCGAACCTGTCATACAGTCAGTTCTATCGAACGAGTCATACAGTCAGTTCTATCGAACGTGTCATACAGTCAGTTCTATCGAACGTGTTATTCAGCCAGTACCATTCAGTCAGTCCTACACAGCGTGTTATTCAGTTTAACATAGCGTGTTATGCTTTTAGTAGTTATTTAGTTTACAAATTATATTACTTCAACCCACCAAATTGAGATAAGCATCACTTCCTGTCTCCCATCGCCCCTTGAACAAAGGGCTGTTGTGGCCTGTCTTTGTCTCCCAGCCTCCATGAAGATCATACGTCATTACACTGATGAAGTCCATGAGTCTGAAAAAGGCATTTACCCGAATTTAGCGTGATAATAATTACTTCACAACTATCGGCGCAACCTTCATTATTTTAGAATCACAACTTCCGCTTCAATTCTCCTTTTGTTCCGACACACCACGATAAAAAATAATGAAACGCTCAGACCTCAGAAAGACTTACTTAATCGCAATTACAGTCGGTTTCGGCAAAGCCACACTCAAAAGTATATATCATTGATCTCCCATTTACAAGCCTATCTGGAGTTTTAAGATACGATCATCTCTCTCAAAAACCAAGCCTATCCTATCTCCTGTGAGATCACGCGTGGTACCCTATCTCAGTGATATCACACTTGTTACCTGTCTCTGTGATGTGATATCACATTTGTTACCCTATCTTTGTGAGATCACGCGTGGTACCCTATCTCAGTGATATGACACTTGTTACATGTTTCTGTGATGTGATATCACATTTGTTACCCTATCTTGGTGATATCACACTTGTTACCCTATCTCTGTGATATCACACTTGTTGCCCTGTCTCTGTGATATCACACGTGTTACCCTATCTCTATGATAACACACTTGTTACCCTATATCTGTGATATCACACGTGCTACCCTATCTCTGTTAAATCACACGTGTTACCCTATCTCTGTGATATCACACTTGTTACCCTGTCTCTGTGATATCACACGTGTTACCCTATCTCTATGATATCACACTTGTTACCCTATATCTGTGATATCACACGTGCTACCCTATCTCTGTGATATCACACGTGTTACCCTATCTCTGTGATATCACACTTGTTTCCCTGTCTCTGTGATATCGCACTTGTTACCCTATCTCTGTGATATCACACTTGTTTCCCTGTCTCTGTGATATCGCACTTGTTACCCTATCTCTGTGATATCACACTTGTTCCCCTGTCTCTGTGATATCACACTTGTTACCCTATCTCTGTTATATCACACGTGTTACCCTATCTCTGTATTATCACACGTGTTACCCTATCTCTGTGATATCACACTTGTTACCCTGTGATATCACACGTGTTACCCTATCTCTGTGCTATCACACGTGTTACCCTATCTCTGTGATATCACCCTTGTTACCCTGTCTCTGTGATATCTCACTTGTTACCCTATCTCTGTGATATCACACTTGTTACCCTGTCTCTGTGATATTACACTTGTTACCCTATCTCTGTGATATCACACGGGTTACCCTATCTCGATGAAATCACACTTGCTACCCTGTCTTGGTGATATCGCACTTCTTATCCTAACTCTGTGATATCACACTTGTTACCCTATCTCTGTTAAATCACACTTGCTACCCTGTCTTGGTGATATCGCACTTCTTATCCTAACTCTGTGATATCACACTTGTTACCCTATCTCTGTGATATCACCCTTGTTACCCTGTCTCTGTGATATCACACTTGTTACCCTATCTCTGTGATATCACACGTGTTACCCTATCTCGATGAAATCACACTTGCTACCCTGTCTTGGTGATATCGCACTTGTTATCCTAACTCTGTGATATCACACTTGTTACCCTATCTCTGTGATATCACCCTTGTTACCCTGTCTCTATGATATCACACTTGTTTCCCTGTCTCTGTGATATTACACTTGTTACCCTATCCCTGTGATATCACACTGGTTACCCTATCTCTGTTAAATCCCACTTGCTACCCTGTCTTTGTGATATCGCACTTGTTCCCCTATCTCTGTGATCTCACCCTTGTTGCCCTATCTCTGTGATACCACCCTTGTTACCCTTTCTCTGTGATATCACAGAGTTAGGATAACAAGTGCGATATCACCGAGACAGGGTAGCAAGTGAGATTTAACAGAGATAGGGTAACAACTGTGATATCACAGTTGTTACCCTATCTCTGTGATATCACACTTGTTACCCTATCTCTGTTAAATCACACTTGCTACCCTGTCTTGGTGATATCGCACTTGTTACCCTATCTCTGTGATATCACACTTGTTACCCTATCTCTGTGATATCACACTTGTTACCCTGTCTCTGTGATATCACACGTGTTACCTCTCTCTGTGATATTACAATTGTTACCCTGTCTCTGTGATATCACACTTGTTACCCTAGCTCTGTGATATCACACTTGTTCCCCTGTCTCTGTGATATCACACGTGTTACCTCTCTCTGTGATATTACAATTGTTACCCTGTCTCTGTGATATCACACTTGTTACCATATCTCTGTGATATCACCCTTGTTACCCTGTCTCTGTGATATCACACGTGTTACCCTATCTCTGTGATATCACACTTGTTACCATATCTCTGTGATATCACCCTTGTTACCCTGTCTCTGTGATATCACACGTGTTACCTATCTCTGTGATATTACAATTGTTACCCTGTCTCTGTGATATCACACTTGTTACCCTATCTCTGTGAAATCACACTTGTTACCCTGTCTCGATGATATCACTGTTGTAAGCCTATCTTGCCATTATCACAATTACCTGCCTATCTCGGCTATTTCGTAGGCCTTGTCGATGGTGTCCTTGCCTGCCGCCACTGCCGCCGTCAGCAGCAGGCGTGGCTTCCCCGTGCTCCTCGACTCCTGCTCAAACTCCGCATGTAGCTCCTGTTAATTCATCAATGATTGATCAGTTGAGATAATCAAAAATCAATACTCAGCATAAAATGCATTCAAAGTCAATCGCGTTTGAGTATGTTTATCCGTGTTTTTTCACTTTTTTGGTCCGTTTGAAGATTGGACGAACATTTTGATGACGCTTTGAAAACAGGTAAATTACTGTACGCAGTCAGTTTGATAACGAAAGACGGTCCGATAAAGGAGAGAACTGAAAAATGTATGAACGTTAAAATACAAGGCAGATGGATTTTCATATATAAACGGCAGAACCGAGTAACATCTCAAACACCACAATCGTTACCTTGACGAGTCGGGTAAACCTCTGTTTGTCTTCAGGTGGGCTTCCTCTATTGCCGGGGTACTCCCAATCCAGGTCGAGGCCGTCAAAGTTACGTGACCTCATAAACTTAATAGCAGAAGTGATAAACTTGCGTCGGTTGGCTTCATTCCTTACCATATCTGTGAACGGTTCTGAACCCATGTTCCACCCACCGACGGCTATCAGAGTCTTAAGGTCACTGTTCCCTTTCTTCAAATCATTCACCTTCTCGAACCTGAGAGGATACGTGAAATTGGATAAATGAAAGCATTTAGAAATATCGCATCATTTTATAAGGTTTTATACTGCACAGGAATGTTAAAAAAATTGTTAAGGCTCTGAATGTAGTATATCATAGCTCTGAGTGCGGTATATTATAGCTCTGAGTGTCGTATATAATAGCTCTGAGTGCGGTATATTATAGCTCTGAGTGCGGTATATTATCGCTCTGAGTGCGGTATATTATAGTTCTGAAGTCATATATTATAGCTCTGAGTGTCGTATATAATAGCTCTGAGTGTCATATATTATAGCTCTGAGTGTCATATATTATAGCTCTGAGTGTCATGTATTATTGCTCTGAGTGTCATATATTATAGCTCTGAGTGGTGTTTTATAGCTGCTGTGATCTTTAGGGGTGTAATTTATCAACCTGATGTGTATGTTACTTGATCATCATAAAATATTTACCAATGTTATATTTTGAACAAGAGGGCCAATGGACCTGCATCGCTCACCTGGTATTTATCTCACACTTGTAATCTTAAAAGTGGACTAAAATACAGCTACAGGCAGAATATCAGTGTTTGATTCATAAGAACATATTAAAAGATTTAAATATATGACGCCTGTGACATTGAATGTCGAAAAAGGCCATTAGGTTAAAAGTGGGCCAAGGTCATTCGTTTGAACAAACTTGGTAGCCCTTCATCCCAGCATGCTACAGGCCCAATTTCAGTACCCTGGGCCTTTTGGTTATTGAGAAGAAGTGGTTTGAAGATTTTTAGACATTTGACCCCTGTGACATTGAAAGTTGGTCAAAGTCATTCTTTCGAACAAACTTGGTAGCCCTTCATCCTAGCATGCTACTGGCCAAATATCATCAGTCTGTGCCTCTTGGTTATTGAGAAGAAGTTGTTTAAAGTACGGACGATGGACGCCGCACCATGCCATGAGGTCACTTGGCCATTCGGGCCAGGTGAGCTAATAAAAACGAAAGACAGGAATCGGTCTAGTCACATTAGCGTCGATACTATCAGATACCGGTGAAGTGAATTCAGATGTCGGTAAAGTCAGCTGTCGGAAAAGACAGGTATCGGTAATGGGTAGTGTCAGAGTCGAAGACAGAAATAAGTCTATTGGAACATACAATCTTATCTGGTATTACAGTGGGTCCTTAAATCATATGTAAGCAAAGACATTGTCGGTAAAGACAGGTATCGGTAACGACAGGTGTTGGTAAATACAGATACCGGTAGAGTGATGGTGATGATCGTAAATTCAGATAGCAGTGGGCCAGATGTAGTTACACTGTAAACTCAGATTCTTGCTAACTCGCTACATAATGTAAAATCAGGTAAAGGCACCAGGAATCAAGTTATTTTAGAATTCATTACGAACATCGAAAACTGTTTTTTTAATTTGATGGATGGCTGGATGGAATGACGAATGAAAGCCCTCTTGTATGAGGAAAAATATGTGTAAGATTTACTGAACCCAGAGCCCCAACTCTGGCAGTAATCATGGACCTAAAACCTAGAAAATAAATGTCTTATCTTTTTTAGTATAAATGAACATGAAAACAATGTATACATTGTGTAATACTCACATTCCTTTCGACCATTCCGTAGAGTCATCGTTCCATTCAAATGGAGTCAGTGCATGTTTTGTAAGTTTAGCGAATGAATAAACTATATGAGAACACAGGCGATCGTCTATATTATCCGGGGTATACTTTCCAAGTTTGGGCCTATATTGAGCCCAGTTAGTATAGTAGCACACTCTCCTCATCCCGTAACTGCCTGAAATAATAGGAATGCATGTTTACAAAAACTTTCATAGAATGGGCACGTGTCAATAACTCTCCTAGATATGCCCCATCCGCATAGACGTATATTTCAACGATCTTTCCCGTGAGTGTAGGACAGAGAAACTCCCTATGTGGAGGACATTCTTCACTGTCTAATCCGGGCTGACTCAGTCAACAATCCCCTCCCCACTCTCGGGTTAGACAGTCAACAATTCCCTCCCCCCCCCCCCCCCCCCCCCGCCTCTCAGGTTAGACAGTTAACAATCCCTTCCCTGCCTCGGGTTATACAGTCAACAATCCCCTTACCCGTCTCGGGTTAGACAGTCAACAATATCCGTCCCGCCTCAGGTTAGACAGTTAACTATCCCCTTCCCTGCCTCAGGTTAGACAGTTAACAATCACCTTCCCCACCTCGGGTTAGACTTAGACAGACAACAATCCTCTCCCCCGCCGCAGGTTAGACAGTCAACAATCCCCTAACCCGTCTCGGGTTAGACAATCAACAATATCCGTCCCGCCTCAGGTTAGACAGTTAACTATCCCCTTCCCTTCCTCAGGTTAGACAGTTAACAATCCCCTTCCCTGCCTCAGGTTAGACAGTCAACTATCCTCTCCACCGCCGCAGGTTAGATAGTCAACAAGTCCTTCCCCTGCCTCAGGTTAGACAGTAAACAATACATTCCCCCGACTCAGGTTAGAGAGTCAACAATGCCCTCCTCGTGGGGTAGATTTCTCACGTCAACACTGCATTGAGCCTGTTTTACCGGTTCATGATTCTTCTGTCACCCCTAGGGTATGGTTTCTCTACACCCCCTACTAAATGACAGAAAGCATGTGAAAAGAAACAATATTAATACAGCAATGAAACAATTAGGTATGCAGTCACAATCAGCTCTCGAGGAGAGAGGTCATGTGCAAATCAGCATAAAAACAGATTACAAAACGTATAATGTTCAAAGATAATATTGGAATGATGGGATAAAAACAATCATCCCCTATCTTGAAATAGTGACATTGAAATCGCCGATGCGAGTGTTGATTTGTTTGGTTGTAAAACCCAAGACAAAATATCCAACTCGAGGGTTGATTTATTCGGATGTCAAACACTAGACAAAATATCAAACCAAAGGGTTGATTTATTTGGTTCTTAAACCCGAAACAAAAAAACCGAGCCCTGGAAACATGGTGTGATAATCTTTAATACTCACCGAACACCACAGACATAAGCACCAGCCATATAGAGTTTTTATAGTTTTTCATCTGCAAAAACAATACAAGAATAGATAACAACATCACACACCAGTCATACAGGGTTTTAATACAAACAGCACTAAAACATCACATTATTAGACATATTAACACATATCTGAACAGTACAACATCCTACGTCAGGCCATGATCAGACATATTAACACATAACTCAACAGTACAACATCCTTCGTCAGGCCGTCATCAGACATATTAATACATATCTCACCAATACAACATCCTACGTCAGGCCATCATCAGACATATTAATACCTATCTCAACAATACAACACCCTACGTCAGGCCATCATCAGACATATTAATACATATCTCAACAATACAACATCCTACGTCAGGCCATCATCAGACATATTAATACATATCTCAACAATACAACATCCTACGTCAGGCCATCATCAGACATATTAATACATATCTCAACAATACAACATCCTACGTCAGGCCATCATCAGACATATTAATACATATCTCAACAATACAACATCCTACGTCAGGCCATCATCAGACATATTAATACATATCTCAACAATACAACATCCTACGTCAGGCCATCATCAGACATATTAATACATATCTCAACAATACAACATCCTACGTCAGGCCATCATCAGACATATTAATACATATCTCAACAATACAACATCCTACGTCAGGCCATCATCAGACATATTAATACATATCTCAACAATACAACATCCTACGTCAGGCCATCATCAGACATATTAATACATATCTCAACAATACAACATCCTACGTCAGGCCATCATCAGACATATTAATACATATCTCAACAATACAACATCCTACGTCAGGCCATCATCAGACATATTAATACATATCTCAACAATACAACATCCTACGTCAGGCCATCATCAGACATATTAATACATATCTCAACAATACAACATCCTACGTCAGGCCATCATCAGACATATTAATACATATCTCAACAATACAACATCCTACGTCAGGCCATCATCAGACATATTAATACATATCTCAACAATACAACATCCTACGTCAGGCCATCATCAGACATATTAATACATATCTCAACAATACAACATCCTACGTCAGGCCATCATCAGACATATTAATACATATCTCAACAATACAACATCCTACGTCAGGCCATCATCAGACATATTAATACATATCTCAACAATACAACATCCTACGTCAGGCCATCATCAGACATATTAATACATATCTCAACAATACAACATCCTACGTCAGGCCATCATCAGACATATTAATACATATCTCAACAATACAACATCCTACGTCAGGCCATCATCAGACATATTAATACATATCTCAACAATACAACATCCTACGTCAGGCCATCATCAGACATATTAATACATATCTCAACAATACAACATCCTACGTCAGGCCATCATCAGACATATTAATACATATCTCAACAATACAACATCCTACGTCAGGCCATCATCAGACATATTAATACATATCTCAACAATACAACATCCTACGTCAGGCCATCATCAGACATATTAATACATATCTCAACAATACAACATCCTACGTCAGGCCATCATCAGACATATTAATACATATCTCAACAATACAACATCCTACGTCAGGCCATCATCAGACATATTAATACATATCTCAACAATACAACATCCTACGTCAGGCCATCATCAGACATATTAATACATATCTCAACAATACAACATCCTACGTCAGGCCATCATCAGACATATTAATACATATCTCAACAATACAACATCCTACGTCAGGCCATCATCAGACATATTAATACATATCTCAACAATACAACATCCTACGTCAGGCCATCATCAGACATATTAATACATATCTCAACAATACAACATCCTACGTCAGGCCATCATCAGACATATTAATACATATCTCAACAATACAACATCCTACGTCAGGCCATCATCAGACATATTAATACATATCTCAACAATACAACATCCTACGTCAGGCCATCATCAGACATATTAATACATATCTCAACAATACAACATCCTACGTCAGGCCATCATCAGACATATTAATACATATCTCAACAATACAACATCCTACGTCAGGCCATCATCAGACATATTAATACATATCTCAACAATACAACATCCTACGTCAGGCCATCATCAGACATATTAATACATATCTCAACAATACAACATCCTACGTCAGGCCATCATCAGACATATTAATACATATCTCAACAATACAACATCCTACGTCAGGCCATCATCAGACATATTAATACATATCTCAACAATACAACATCCTACGTCAGGCCATCATCAGACATATTAATACATATCTCAACAATACAACATCCTACGTCAGGCCATCATCAGACATATTAATACATATCTCAACAATACAACATCCTACGTCAGGCCATCATCAGACATATTAATACATATCTCAACAATACAACATCCTACGTCAGGCCATCATCAGACATATTAATACATATCTCAACAATACAACATCCTACGTCAGGCCATCATCAGACATATTAATACATATCTCAACAATACAACATCCTACGTCAGGCCATCATCAGACATATTAATACATATCTCAACAATACAACATCCTACGTCAGGCCGTTATCCGACATATTAATACATATGTCAACAGTACAACATCCTACGTCAGGCCGTCATCAGACATATTAATACATATCTCAACAATACAACATCCTACGTCAGGCCATCATCAGACATATTAATACATATCTCAACAATACAACATCCTACGTCAGGCCATCATCAGACATATTAATACATATCTCAACAATACAACATCCTACGTCAGGCCATCATCAGACATATTAATACATATCTCAACAATACAACATCCTACGTCAGGCCATCATCAGACATATTAATACATATCTCAACAATACAACATCCTACGTCAGGCCATCATCAGACATATTAATACATATCTCAACAATACAACATCCTACGTCAGGCCATCATCAGACATATTAATACATATCTCAACATTACAACATCCTACGTCAGGCCATCATCAGACATATTAATACATATCTCAACATTACAACATCCTACGTCAGGCCATCATCAGACATATTAATACATATCTCAACATTACAACATCCTACGTCAGGCCATTATCAGACATATTAATACATATCACAACAGTACAACATCCTACGTCAGGCCATTATCAGACATATTAATACATATCTCAACATTACAACATCCTACGTCAGGCCATTTTGCGTTTGACAATAAAAACATCACACCGCCAGTTAAATATCGTTTATATATATAAAAAAAAATCATCCCCAGTTATACCGAGTATTTATACAAACAACATTAAAACAGCACCTCACAACTCGTATATATTTTTCATATACACAACATACTATAACACCACCCATATAGAAATTTCTGATGAACAACATTTTCTAGTAAGTAATATTTAACTATTTTTCATGTTAAGAGCTCAGTATCTGGTTTGTTTTGTTTTGGTTTAGCATTGTTTCACGTCCGATCAACACCTATGGTCATTTAAGGACGGCCTCCCTTGTGTGCAAGATGCATGCTTGTAGTGTATATGCGTGTGTGTTTTGGGAGGCTGCGATATGTTCGTGTTTGTCTCCTTGTGATAGCGCGGAACTGATGCCGACTTTATAGTGCTACCTCACTGAAAACATTGTTGCCTGAATAACATTTGATTCACAGGTCCAAAGGTCCAAAGATACTTAATGACAAAGTATAAAATCCATGGTTCTATGAATTGGTTATCAGGTGGGAATCTCTATCTTTTGTATGACATGTCCACGGGTTTAAGTCCTTAGGGGCCTTCAACAGAGCTAATGCTGGTTGCATGATTGTACATGTTTTTCGTTTCTTCACACCCAGGGAAAATAGATACAGATATAGGGCGGAGACATTAACCATTTTCAGCTATGACTAAACGACCATGTGGCCATTTCTAAAGTGGTATTCAATACAGTCAATGTTCCCATGTGACGCAGTCGCCACTCCAAGTGGACCATTGACCTCAATACAGTAAATTAGAACAATATTTGCAACGCTGGTCGACATAATACAGTTATTTTATCCACGTGTATTATCTTTTTGCATTATACATTACAGTTCGTTAGATGATGTTGTTTCAAGTTTTAACATATTTGACATTGGGCCTAATACCCGGCCACTAGGCCTTATGAAATAAAGAAATTTTCTCACAAAAATTCCTATAATATACTATGTTGACAGTCGATCTTGCTAAGAACTTAAATTTCACTTTCGACCTCAACACATTATCGTGGAGAACGATTCTCACTTCTGGTCTATGTTCACAGGTATCATGACTCTATAACTCAAGTTCAAAGTTCAAAGTTCAAATAGTTTATTTTCGTGTCAAACACCTAGTATTCATAAAATCACAATACATATACCTTTGAATATAAAATGTGGCTAGCCAAAATGACTTATTAGACACGTCAAAAGAACAATCAAACTAACTACTTTTAAAACTATCTTCAAACATGTAATGTTATTAACTAGTTTTTGTAAAAACAATTATGCTTGGTAAAATTTAATTTGTAGCAGGACCTCTAAAATTTCCATATATATATACTATCATGAAGCCCACCAGGGTAAGAGATATACAAGAGTGGTTGGGCCTATCCCCACTGACAAGTTATATACCCCCACCTCATACCTGCACATCTAATTATAATACATAATTTAATATGGGAGAAACATAGTTCTCCTCCTCCTCCACATAACAGAACGTTGGGTAGCTAGTGTCTTTTGGAGAACTGGTTCACACATGTTCATATCATTGAAAAAATCTTATACATTGTTTGCTTTCGTTGAAATTACAGATCTAAGATCATCATAAAAAATACATTCCATTAAAAAATGATACTCGTTTACTACATCATTGTTGCACAATTTACATAACCTATTATTGACAGGAATCACAGGTCGGGCATG